TCGCTGACAGGTAGGCCTTTCCCACTTTTTGCACATTAGATACACGACCTGATTTATGGTTTTACAGTCACTAACAACAACCTGAACATAAATGCTAACCCAACACTAAACAGAAAATCCAACTGGGATGACCCATCTGACGACATAACCTGAGAATACCCAGAAGGCCCTGCGGCTCACACAGTCTCTTACGTTCCTGTACAATGAGTAATTTCAATAATTCACACTGAAATTCAACAACTCGCACAACTTACTGTTTCAGTATAATTTCATTATAAAGAAACACAAACACAACTGCAATATTACAAACTATCACCTGTATCCTGATACATGCTCAATAATCCAGGTAGAAAAATCCAAAAAAGTTCAATCTGGTCCTCTGGACATTCAGAAAACAAGAAAACAAAAAAACAAAGCAAAAAAAATGTAGAAACGTTTCGTCTCTCATCCAAGAGACTTCCTCAGTCTGAGGTGCTGTATTCAGCTCACGGTCAGTGCGGTCTACACTCATCTCCAGGCCAGCGGTCACTCTTTCAGGGATGAAGATGTGCACATCCTGGACAAAGAGGAACGATGGTTTGAGAGAGGAGTAAAGGAGGCCATCTTTGTGAAAATAAATCGTCCATCATTAAACAGGGGTGGAGTCCTACGTGTTCAACTGTCCCCCTCTTACAATGCTGTGATTGCTAGTATCACTCAGCCCTCTGTGAATAGTAAAAAGCCATCAGTGTGCTAATGACCCATTGTTAGGCTGATGGTCCTTCTTGACCATGTGAGCAGCTGGTTTTGGTTGTCAGCAGAAAACTGGTTGATCCACTCTGAGAAGGTGCTATTTAAGAGACTGAGCTGAATACAGCACCTCAGACTGAGGAAGTCTCTTGGATGAGAGACGAAACGTTTCTACATTTTTTTTGCTTTGTTTTTTGTTTTTTTGTTTTCTTGTTTTTTGAATGTCCAGAGGACCAGATTGAACTTTTTTGGAAACTATCACCTGATGTAATATTTAATTTTATTTTTTTAGAGCAACCACTTTTTTTTTACAGGTTGTAATTTAATTGTAATTGCATGATAAATCTATGGAAGCCCATTTCCATCATGAAAATAAAATAAAAGCCCAACAGGAAGTCATAATTCTCACTTTAAATGTCATAATTATGAAAATAAAAGTCATAATTATGAGTTTTAAAGTCATAATTACGAGAATAAAATTCATAATTATGAGTTTTAAAGTCATAATTTTGACTTTTCCAGTGGTGGCGCAGAGGTTAGAGAGGTGGGCCTGTGATCTGAAGATCGCCGGTTCACGCCCCGGCCCCGACGACATCAAAATTGTGGGTGGGGTAGGTCAAACACCCACACTTGCCCCCACCCTCATTCGCCCCACTCTGGGCCCATGAGCAAGGCCCTTAACCCCCACCATGTGCTCCCTAAACAGGTCTAGCTTGAAAATGAGTTCTCGTGGCTCAATGAGACTACCTGTATAAATAAAGGCTAAATGAAAAAATAATAATAATAATAATAACTACAAGAATAAATGTCATAATTTTGTGTTTTAAAGTCATAATTTTGAGTTTTAAAGTCATAATTTCGACTTTTAAAATCATAATTTTGACTTTTAAAGTCATAATTACAAAAATAAAAGTCATAATTTCGAGTTTTAATGTCATATTTTCGAGTTTTAACATCATAATTTGGTGTTTTAAAGTAATAATTTTGAGTATTAAAGTAATAATTTTGACTTTTAAAATCATAATTACAAAAATAAAAGTCATAATTTTGAGTTTTAATGTCATAATTTCCAGTTTTAAAGTCATAATTTCGACTTTTCTAATTTAATTTCTAAGTTTGTCCCTTGCCGGACACCGTGACTCTACAGGGAGGCAACTTCCTGTCAGACACCAGTAGTTTTCCTGCATAGCACATGGATTCATTCATTCAATGTATGTCCCTCTGCCTTCAAACATCAATCCTTTTAAATAAAAGGTATGTAATGTATACATCTTTTCATTGCTACTTTATAAAGCAGTATCAAAGCTAATTTCCACTATGAAATAAAAGCCCAGCAGGAAGTCATAATTGAGTTTTAGTCATAATTATGAGAATAAAAGTCATAATTTCAAGTTTTAAAGTCATAATTACGAGAATAAAAGTCATAATTATTACTTTAAAACTCAAAATTATGACTTTTATTCTTGTAATTATGACTTTAAGACTCAATTATGACTTCCTGTTGGGCTTTTATTTCATAGCAGAAATGGGCTTTGATACTGCTTTATAAAGTGGCAATGAAAAGATGTATACATTACATACCTTTTATTTAAAAGGAATGATGTTTGATGACTTTAAAAGTCAAAATTATGACTTCCTGTTGGGCTTTTATTTTTTCTTTCATGGCGGAAATGGGCTTCCATAATCTTCACGTTCCAAAAAAATTACAAAAATTGTAAGGCCTCCCCAATGCCCCTAAGCTCATGGCCCCATGTTTTGGTCCTATCTACACTACATCAACATTGTTGGTTACTTTTCCTATCAGCTATTAAACAAACTCATCCTGGAGAGACTCACTGAGCTCAGCCTTCTCTGGAAACAATGAAGTCCTAACCAATGAGAAAGCTCCTTCAAACATATTTCTGCCTGGAGACAAAAAATTAAAATAACCTGACTGGATGACTGTACATTCTTAAATTAACAAAAGTTTCTTGTTCAACTGCAAAGTAATTTACAGAAAATAAACAAAATCAGCAAAAAAGTAAATAAGAAAAACTACAATGAATATATATATTTTAAAATAAATATTAAATTAAAAAAATATTCTTAGGCCTTCTCTGAAGGTGTTGAAGGCCCTGGGGGTTCCCTGCTAGCTAATACAACAACTAATTTAGGTCAATATCTATAAAACTGTTTGGGCTTTTAGCAAATCTTGTGTTTGCTAACTTTGATTAGCTGTGGTGGCCAACTTGAATCAAGCCGACTCTAAAAGTTATTCACCTGTGGATATAAATCCACTAATATAACAAGCATATAGAATTGTGTCCAGCATTTATTTCTAAATGACCTCATGAAATCTGTTAGCGCTCAGTGTGTGTTCAGGTCTACTATCAACAACAAACGCACCCAATTTTAGTTCAATATTTGTAAAATTAAGTGAATTTTTGCTGTTTGTGTTTTCTAAATTTGATTAGCTGTGGCAGTCATCTTCACTCCATGATTTAATCAGACATGGATATACAGCCATAACTGTTTTCAGTTAAATCTGTTTCACAAGAGTCATAAGATATTTTGCTAACAAACACACACTCGCAGGTCTTGACACTTACATAGTCGCCTGTTTTCATGGAAGCGGGTGATAAATATTTAAACTCCACAACACCTGTCTCGGTCATCAGTCCGCCACCCCAGCACTAACTGTATTTCCATCCTTCCCACGTGCACGTTGTTCACCGATCGTCTTTAGAACAATCTGCATTATTCAGCAGGGCTGGGATGATCACTGCCAGCTTATTCAAACTTAAATAAATTGACAGCAGAGCAACACGCTGCCAACAACTGGAGCCTCTGGATGAGTGATGACAAATTGAAGCGTCACTTGCTCTCACGCCAGCTGCTCTCTGTCACACAGCATGACACACGGTGTCAATATTGGAGTGATTAAAAGGTGACAACAGTCCAAGAGCCAAACACCGATACCCCCCCCCCGCTGCTGAACTTCATCTGTATGGGCAGCGCAAACACAAAGAAACTGCAAAGAAAGATGAGCTCCTCTCTGGGATGGTTGTCAACAGTTCTGATTTCTCTCCAGAGTTCTTTTGATTTGTTGATTGCAGCGCGGACAAGCAGAGCTATTTTAGCTTCAAATGACCAGAGCCGACAGCCTGAAACACTCAACCCTCCCGTTATCACATTCCACGTCTCTAGCTTTTAGTTCATTATAAATATTAATTCTTTTAATCGTTGCTGGCAGCCTAATTTTGGATCAAATTCATCTCCTCGTGACTAAGCGGACAGAATGTCTCCCTGTGGTAAAATAGTTTTACAGAATAAGTCTAGGACCTGATTGGCTAAGAGCCAGAAGCATCCACACACACTTTTAGCTGCAAATATTGTGCATCATCCACCACCGTTATCTGATCCGTCACAAGTTCATACAACATCTGATGCAGACAACACCATCAAGATTAGCAGTTTGCATTTTTGTGTCAGATTACAGATTTGAAAGAAAAACATGTCACATAAATATCCCTTTATGTTCTTAAAAGGATGACTAGTTCCACGCCTGTTTGGTGCTCGTCTACTTCAATTTGACTTGTTTTGGCTGTAATTGCATTTTATTGTGGGCATGTGATAAATGAAAACCATGCATTCCTTGATCTTTGTTTAAAAGCATTTTGTTTAAAGTGATCTGTTAGTGCTCAGATTATGATGTGTGAATTACTCTCAGCTACTGCTACACCAAACTATAGGTCAATATTTGTAAAGATGAGGAAGTTATACCCATTTTTGTGTGGTCTAAGGTTGATTAGCTGTGGTGGTCATTTTGAGACGGGTTGCCTCCAAAAGTTAAACTAATGTAGAGGTGCAGCCAATAAATTAAATCTAAAAGTGTCATTAAAATCTGTTCAGTGTTTCAAGAGATATTCTGCTAACAGACAATCACACAGACAGAACCATATTTTCAGCAGTGCATGATAAATGTTCCACACTCTGTGTCTGGAGGAGATTGTGATGGAAATGTGTCACCTTCTGCAAGCACCATATAGATAATCTCTGTCTTTCTTTTTCCAGAAAGATGGTATTTACTGTGGCCATGACACTGATAAAAGCAGAAGGAGCACCGCCCCACCCCCCAGGTGGTGCGGCCCCTCAGTGTTCTCCTGATGAGGTGTGTGTGAGCAGGTCTGTCTGTCTGCCGGCAGCAATCAGAGCAGCCGAGCGGAGCCCTCAGCGTGTTTCCAGCCCGCTCGTTACTACGGGCAGCCGAACGTCACTCATGCGTGACTTACCTTCAGCTCGCATGGTGAACGGCGGGTCTCCGGGTCGCTTTGTCGAGAACTGACCCCCCAGAGAGGTCATTAGAAAGCAGAGGCTGAAGAAGCCGACCCCAGCTACAAAGATCCTGCGGCAAAGAAGGGAAGGCGGTGTTAGTTACGGAAGAGCAAATTACAAGAAACACAAGAGAAAATTACAAAATGTGGGAAGAGGTTGCCATTTCACAGTGGGTCAAGGTCAACAGAGGTCATGTCAAGCTCTAAATAATAAAAAAAAGTGGATTGACTGTCTTAAAGCAATTCAATCTTGATAACTTCATAACGGTTCGTGGAAACTGTATTTTATAAATCCCCAAAAAAAGTTAAGTCAGGTCATCTGGATGGATTCTTCTTGATTGAAACGTTTTGACGTTCATCCGAAAGACTTCATCAGTCTGAGGCCATGCCACAAACTCAGTCCTATAAATAGCACCTTCTCAAAGTGGATAAACCAGTTTACTGGGGCATCTGGAACCAGCATTTCACATGGACAGTGCTCACAGACTACTTCCCCTCAAATTCACACCTTTGCTGGCCTCCCTCATTCACCCCAGTGCAACAACAGGTAGATGCAAAGGTGCCAATGGCTGTGTCGCTCACTGGGCGGCCTGTGCTGGGACCCCCACCCACTGCACACGCATATGTCTTATGTCTGTATGTTGCTTTTTTGCTGAGGTCTTTTTTTTTCCTCAACTCTCACACTGTGTCCCATATAGGACACAGTGTGAGATATGATTTTTTTTTTTATAGCTCCCCTCGTGTTTCTTTTTTCTTATCTAAAAGAGAAGAGCAGCGCCTCCCGAAGGCCGCGGCCTCAGACACCTCCGTCTCCCCATGTCTGTTGGTTTATATTTTCTCGGACGGGCTGTACTGAAATGTAATTTTATTGTGCTTTGGTGCAATGAGCTGATCCTGATTCTTATTCTGATAAGCCCTCTAGGAGGTGAAGCATTGGGGAAAGGACAAATTTCTCCAAGTTCATATTTTTCCAATCAAGCCACTCGCTGGACTGTTTCATTTCACATGAACCATTATAGGGGTGGGTTTCTCTGCATCATGCTGTGCTCGGTGGACGAACATCTAAAATAAAAGCATTCAAGGCGAGCGGCTGTGTTAAGGATAGAGAAGTGAACGGCCTGCAAATTTTTCTCCTGTGCTTCGGACTGATTTTCCTCAGACTGACTCATCTGAGCGCTCGGGCAGTCGTGCTGAGAAAATGTTGGGAAACAATCCATCTTTTATGGAGCGGAGCTGCAGGAAAGATCGTCACCCTTTGGTAACGGATCCGATTCCTTTATCATTTCTTTTCAAGGCAGAGAGGCAGCAGTCACTCAGCTGGAGCCTGAGAATGATGGGGCCATATCCTATATCTGTGATGAAGGTAAAGCACTGGATGTCGGTGCTGAAATCCTTCTGCTCGTTGCATTTTACAGGATAGTTCATGCTCGCAGAAGAGGAAAGGTTGTGAATACTTGTCATCTTTGCTGTTGTACAACTCTAAAATTCAATGATTTGCAATCCTGATAAACCCATATTTTATTCACAGCATTAAATGTTAATGATTAAAATATACAACGATTGGAAAAACAATGAGAGTTTTGAATATGATGGCAGGAAAATGTCTCAAAAAGACAGGACGGGGACATGTTTTGGTCTACAGCATGAAGATACTGGGGAGTATTGTCCCATTCCGTCTGATGGAGGACTCAAATTGTTCAACAGTCCTGGGTCTTGCTTAATAAATGTTATTATTTTATGACACTCAAAATCATTTCAGTTTATCAGAGGTCTGGACTTCAGGCAGACCAGTTCAGCATTCAGTCTTTTCTACCACAAAGCCACACTGGAAATCCTGAAATTGTTCCACTACTTTTAGACATGGTTTTTAACTGACTGATGAACCTTTGCCCATCTTTATTTCAGAGAGATTCAACCTCATTAAAACGCTCTTTTAATACCCGGTCCTCTTATTCATCTGTTGCCACTGTAGTGGACTAGGCCTACGTCAAAACTAAGTCTAAGGTCAAAACTCTTGACCTTAAGAACCTTGTGGGACAGAAGCTGTCATTTCATGTATTTGAATCCATAAATACAGGTTCACCCATCCTGAGACTTTCTTTCTTGAAGATTCAAGTGAAAAGAACACTCTCTTTTTATTATCATTACTACCACAAATGTTGATAATCAAAGTGTCTTAGTTCAAACCATTTTAGATGTTGCAGTGAACTAATCAATTTTATTAACTGAGTAATGATTTTTATTCTCATGCAAAGTTAGAACTCATGTTAAAAGCTGTTACAGAGTTTATGCATTTTCTGATTTCTGCCTTTGAATGAGCAAGTGTGTGCGTTCCAAGGTTGGAGTCAAACGAAAAACAAGTTGTTATGTTAAAACTGTCATGTTTTAGAATCCTCTCAGACGTAAATATAGATGTTTTGCACCTGTTTCTGAAACACGCCAAAACAAAACTCTCTCTGTCTGTGAGAACATTTCTGATCTGTCTCATAACAATTCTCGCTGTCTCTAACCTCTTACGTCACAAAACACACCCCGTCTGGTCGTTTCTGACCAATGGACAACTCCCAAAAGTGAACCGGGAAAGAGTCTTTAAAATGTCAGTACTTCCTGATCTTCTCAGAGTTCTATGAGTTCTATGAGTTCTAAGAGTTCTAAGAGTTCTGGAGTTCAGTAGTTGCTAGAGTTCTGTGGAAGTTCTGTAAACTACACAAGTTCTGCTGAGTTCTGATGGAGTGCTGTTGGAGTTCCTGACATGACAACAAAGCTCTTCCGAGTTTCATGGGATTATAACATTTTCCACTGAGGTGAATATGTGTCGAACAGAGCCTCGCCATTACTTAGAACGAGTAACAGCATCCTACTGAGACGCTGAAAGGGTGCGTTAAACGGAATCTCACCTGAGACATCTCCAGGTAAAGGAGCCGATTTCATCACCTAAGTGTACTGTAAGGAAAAGCTGAAGAAAGCCGGAGAGTGTCGATTCTGGTGAACACTTAATTTCCCTCACACACCATCTTACTCCCTCTAAACTTCTTTCCATCTTTAAACTTTTCTATCAAGTAGAAATTCTTCCAGATATTTTAGAAATGTCTGTGTAAAATGCTCACCCACATTCATGTGGGTAAAAGATCATAATTGTACAGTTTATAAATGTCTGTGGTGCAGCAACGGAAGAATCATGGCCGTATGATTTTTCCTGATTGATTGCTTATGTTGTTATTTTCATAATTTGCCAAATTAATGTAAATGTTTGATGTTAAATTTTGATTCTGTAAATAAATGACCGCATTCATTTTGATGGGTCAAACATAAATGACGTCTCACGTTACATTTCCTTAAATTCAATGCACGTTTTATTCAGTCCAGAAAAATGAGGAATCCGTGTTAAATGATGAATATATCCCAGCATCTGTTCATCTACACCAACTAACCTAATTAGTAGCAAAATGCTCCCCCAACTCTTTCTTCTTTGAACCACTTACTTTTCTCATCTTTTGTTGCACTTTTTTTTTTTTTTAGATGGTCGCTACAATTAAATTCAACATTACTTGAAGTTTTCCTAAAAATGGTACAAATTCTAGTTTTAACATGCGATATGTTCTGTCCTTATTTACATTTTACACATCTTGACATTTTTAGTTGTAGCGTAGCTGTTTCAGCGACTTCAGTTCAGAAAAAAAAAAAAATAAGAGTTTAATTCTAAAAGTAACAACAAAATAACAGCCCAAGTGGAGCCAAGGCAAAAGTGGATTGACAGTCTTAAAGCAATTCAATCTTGATAACTTCATAACAGTTCGTGGAAACTGTATTTTATAAATCCAAAAAGAAAAAGTTAAGTCAGGTCATCTGGATGGATTCTTCTTGGTTGAAATGTTTTGCCGTTCATCCAAAAGACTTCATCAGTCTGAGGCCATGCCACAAACTCAGTCCTATAAATAGCACCTTCTCAAAGTGGATAAACCAGTTTGCTGGGGCATTTGGAACCAGCATTTCACATGCCAGTAACCGAACAATTGATCCACAAAAATGGTTAAATCATGTTGTGACATAATTTAACCATTTTTGTTGTTATCTACCTGGATGATTGAACTGACAAACGTCTTTCTGAACCACTTTGACCTTGGTTGTCCACAGGCTGTTTCTGTGAGTAGCAAGTGGGCCACCTGGCCTAAAACATGTGATTGATGTTAATGATGATTGGTTGTTTTTTTTATGGGTGTCCAACAGGCTTGAAACACAGCAGTGAAGGCAACGGGACATATCTGGTTGGCAGGCTGCAGACTGACAAAGTCCTCTGGATGGGGGATGAAACGTTTCTTCACTTAAAGAAACTGGTCCAGATGACATGATCTAACCATTTTTGCTGTTCTCTACCTGGATGACTGAGCTTGCAAACCTTTTTCTAACATCGATCGTTAGTGCCCTGATGGCTGCTTTTTCCCCTGTTGACGATTTCTCGCAGTTATTCCATCAGGGCCGTGCCGACGTGTAAATAACCATGTAATGTGAAACTGATGTGAAGGTTTGTAACTGGAAAAAGACACGCACACATCAACATTCAAAATGGCGGCAGGTGCCCAACCGCAGCGCTCAAAAAGTCATGTGTTTAAATTAAAGAGCCCAAAATGAAGTCCTATAGAAAACAAGCCGCTTTTTTATGATTTACATGAACTGCTATAAATTTGTTTTGAGGTTGAAGTTGTTTAAAGACGGCAGCAAAGCACTTTGGTTTTGGACTCACTCTGACTAGCCATTTGCTCATCCGTCCTGTCAGAATGCATGAACCCTGAAATTCCTGCACCGACCAGGCTTGGCTTCCAACGTGCATGTCAGACAAGTAAGTATTAGCACTCTTATTTATTTCTTAGCAACTGTTTCACACAAATTGGTGACCAAAACATATAGCAAAGATATCCAAAGATAATGAGAGCATATTTCTTGAAACATATCAGTAATGTTGCAAACTCTGATGTCGCTGACAGAATGGTCGTTTTCCTGATGGTCTTCACATTCTATGAGTCTAGTTTTTGTTTAGTTGTAGTTTATGTTGTCTTAAATGTGGTGCTCATAGTTTTTCCCAGACTTCAGAGACTCCAAGTTTAACTGTGCTGTTCATCCAAAAGGCCTTGAGCTCTGCTTCAAATTTTATAAACCACTGAACAAATATATGCCATTCACCCACCCACCATCCATCCAACTGCCTCACCGTGTCGCTCACATTCACATCATTTGTTCAAATAAAAACCACCATCCCAGAAAGCAGACCATCAGATGACTCAAGTATCTCCGCTACCAGCTGTGTTTAAATAATAACATGAATTACATATTAGGAGTAAGTGGCTAAAAAATAATAATAAAATGTCATTTGTTGCTTGTTGAGCTGAACGCATCTCTTGTTAACGTGTCACCCTGGTCTTGAAGGTGCACACTTCATGTTAAGTCATTCAAAAAAGCCATCCACAACAGGTAAGATATTTATGGTTTATGACCTGCTAAAGAATCTCAATTTAAATTATCTGGACGAATGCTTTAAACTTCACAAAATGTGAGTTTCCAATAGATGTATCAAACCTAAATCAGGTGCAAAAACACAGGAAACCTGAATTCACATGGATGCCTGACCAACGCTGCACATGGAAAAAGTTTGGCCCATTTTGTTGAGCACTTTTAATGACATGTCTGTTTACTTGGCTCTGTGTTCGTGCTGGAGCTGAGTAAGCAAACACTAATTGTGGCTCCGCTCGCTCCCTGTTGTGCCAATGAATTCCAAACAGACAGAACTTGCAGAATTTGTTCTGCACTAAGACAAAAAAAAATCAACTATGCCTTTAAATACGCTGTAGTGACCTGAAGGTTACAATATGATTTGATTTTTCTCCGATTGGATCAAGCCACACTGTCATGCTTCTCCTAATAAATTCACAAAACATTAACCTGAAGAAATAGGAAAGGCTTGAAAGAAAGTTTGATCCCATGGTGCTGATGCTGTGCGCTCACCTGAACGGTTTGAAAGTGACAGGGCATCTCCTCGCCATCATGGAAAGCTCCCCGGCGGCTGCAGTCATTTTCCAGGCGCAAACAGAGCGTCAGGTCCGGCTGACATCTCGCTGCTCCGCGCGTCAGATCGCGTGCACAGCATGAGATGTGGCTTGCCGAGGATGGGACGGATCCAAACGCGCAACTTCAGCTGCGGCTGAATGTTGCTGCTGCTGCGGGGAAGAACTCCTGCAACCAGCTGCTGTTCCCGGTGCATGCGTCCGGTCCTGTCACAAGTTCTGAATAAAGCTCGTTAATGAGGCTGCAGCGGTGCCCGTGAGCCCAGCCTGCTGAGTTCAATGACCCTCGGAGCTCCGGGACTTTCCTCGCATTGAGATGAGACAGCGGCTCGTTTACACAGAGCGCCATCTAATGACCCATTCAGGCTCTTTGGTTCCATCTGGACTCAAACGCATCATGGCCAAAACGGATTTCAACTCTTTTCGGGAATGCATGTCGCCCGCAGTGTTTTATGCCTTTCATATATAAAATCATTTTATGTTGGAACACAGATGCAGTTTTGATCAAACATTGAAAGCAGCGTGGTGCAGTTCTCATGATTGTTTTGTGAATGACTCTCAGCCACTACCATGACACAAATCAGCTAAAAATCAGTCAATTTAAAAAGCTGCAGCCGTTTTGGTGTTTTTTTTATTTTATTTTATTTTTTACTGTTGATTAACTGTGGTAGCCATATTGAGCTGGACTGACTCCAAAAGTTAACCGGTTGCAGATGTACATTCAATGACCGCTTTCCGGGAATTTCACTCACATTCATCCAGGGCTTCAGGAAAATATTTTGCTAACAGACAAACAGAGTGGACTCCAACAGTTAATGTTGAAGTTTTAGAGCAAAGATCTTCTGCAATCAGTTAGTGCTTTGTGGATGTGTTTGGATGACTCTCAGCTACTACCACATGCAGTTTTATCATGGCTGTGTTAAAGCCATTTACTCATCTGTGGTAGCCATCTTGAAATGGCTTGTCCCTAAAAGGTTATCAGTTGTTGTCACACACCTCACTTTATCATATAAATACATAGGGCCTACATATTTTGCTAACACAGCTGACAAATGAACACACAGACACATGCAAAAACATTATCACCCTTGTGCTATCAGTGGCAGGTGATAATAATAATATCACTTGTCAGGCCTGATGATAAGAGTTTAGTATGAAAGGTAAAACTTTTTTTTTCTTCTTGTTGTCTGGACACGTTTTTCAGAGTAAAGGTTTGTACACAGCTATTGATTATCTCAAGCAAGACAGTTTATTTGATGCATAGGTGCCAAGTAGGATGAAGTTATTATTTTATTTTATGCACTTTCCTTTATAAATTTTTATGACTTTTAAGGTTATGCCTTGTTATTTTCATGCCAACCAAAATAATCTTTTTTGATTTTACTTTGAAATGAAAGGTTTTGGTTGTTATTTTTGCACGAGTCACTGGACAGGAACATTAAATGAATCAATAAATGAAAATCAAATAGTAAGAAGTACATGTTTGTTTGTGTTTGACCTTATTAATGCCCAAATTCAAGTGTCACAGGCAGAAATGTATTATCTAAACACACAAAACCTTTTAATTCAAAGATTCAAGGTTCTTTATTTGTCATACACACCACACGTGGTACAAAATTGTGTACACAGGGTCCCAGTTACATCCAACAAAAGTATTAAAATGTAAAATAAAAACAGTAATAAGATCTAAGATATGAACTAAGAAAAATGTTAACTAAAAATACACTAAGCATTAATAGCATAAAAACAATATGCCGCAGTAGCACGAACATGAGTCTGTGTGAGCAGATGAGCACACATGAACACAGCAACATGAAACAGATCAGCAGCAACATGGTGGGATTTTTCACAGTGATTATCCTGGTTAGATATTCATGAGTCTAACAGCTTCAGGGTGTTCCTCAGTCTAGTGGTAATGGTAATCTTCACTGAACTGACATTAAATGAAGAACCAGTGCATTTAAAGATGTAGGAGTTGAGATATGTTGAGGTTCTTTTAACACTAACCTCTGGAGAACTAACTCTAGAACAAACAGAAGAGGATGGATGGTTGGATGGATGGACGGATGGATGGATGGATGATGGATGGATGGATGGATGGATGGATGGATGGATGGATGGATGGATGGATGGATGGATGGATGGATGGATGGAAGGAATGATGGATGGATGGATGGATGAATGGATGGATGGATGGATG